TATCAAAGAATACAAGCAAAATAATTTGTATAATCTCGTATATTTTTTATTCAAGTATGAAATATACAGGTATGTTTTTTTTAGATGACATAATACTGTTATGCAATTATAAAAATAATTTGCAATTATTTTCTTATATCATGGAAATATTTCTAAATATTATTTCAAAACTTCTCAAAAAACTAAATTCACACACTAATAAAAATACGATAAATGTAAAATTCGTGCAACGCACGTGACAGTCACTGTGCAGATAATTTTTTTTAAACTTCGCACTGTACGGAGAGTTTGCCAACTCTTCGTACTGTGCTTTTTTTTTTTTTTTTTTTTTACTCCGCACTGTACGGAGAGTCCGCATTTTGTGAAAACAGTATCCGTACAGAGTGCCATCTCTTCGCACTGTGCGGAGAGTTTTACCATGGTGTTTGCCATCTCTCCACACTGTGCGGAGAGATTTTTTTTTACTTCGCACTGTACGAAGAGTTTGCCAACTCTCCGCATTATGTGGAGAGTTTTTTTCTTCCTTTTTTACTCCGCACATGGTTTGTCATTTTTTCGCACTGTGAGGAGAGTTTATTTATTATTTTTTTTAAAGCTCATGTGTGAAGAGTTTTTTGTTTTTTTTTTCTCATGGCAGTTTATATTTATTAAAATTATTTTTTTAATGCTAGTGATATGATGTGTTGAAAAACATTTGTTTGACATAATTATTTTTTTAATGCTAGTAGGATGATATGTGGAAGAACATTTATTTGACATAAATAAAATAAAAAATGACATTATGCATAGTAAAATTAGATTCATTTACTATTACATGAATAGTAGACCTCCTTCCCCTTAGTGGAAATTACAGATTCTAATAGATAAAAAATCATCGTTTCATAAATAAGATGTAATGTTTAATATTTCACAAATCAGAAATTTTTTTAATTAATTTATATATTTAAAAATTAATTAAACAATTTGAAACCCTAATTAATATAAATCTCAATTCCCTCGACTCTCTCTCTCTCCCTCTCTCAATTTACTCGACCAAGCTTCTTTCCTCTCCCATCATTTTCTCCACCACCATCTCCACTGTCGTCGAGTTGCCGCTGTAGCAACTCCTCTTGTGTGAGCGTCGTTACCACGACGGCGAGTCGTAGCGGAGCGATTTGAAGCGACATCACACGCGATGGTGTTTGTGTTGTCGCGATTTGTTGTGGTGGGTTTGGTGGTTTCTGTGGTGGCATTTTGTGGTGGTGGAGTGGGCGATTGGGTGAGTAACAGCGTTGCGATGTGTTTGTGTGGTGGTGATTTTGGGTGTGGTGGTGATGATTATTGTGTTGTGGTTGATCTAACGGTTAGGGTGGTTTGTGTAGTGGCGTCGCCGTGCTGGATTAGGTACAGTGGCGTCTTCTCCCTTCATCTCTCCTCCTCTCCCTCTCCCCCAGTACCGTTACTATAGCACCTCGATTGGATGTACGGTGATGCTGGTGGTCACTGCAGTGGTGGTTTCTGTGGTGGTGGAGTGGGCGATTGGGTGAGTAACAGTTGCGATGTGTTTGTGCAGTGGTGATTTTGGGTGTGGTGGTGATGATGATTGTGTTGTGGTTGATCTGACGATTCGGGTGGTTTGTGTAGTGGCGATGGCGATGTGCTGGATTAGGTGCGGTGGCGCCTTCTCCCTTCGTCTCTCCACCGCTCCCTCTCCCCCAGTACCGTCACTACAGCACCTCGATTGGATGTGCGATGGTGCGTTTGGTCACTGCAGTGGTGGTTGTGGTGGTTTCTGTGGTGGCATTTTGTGGTGGTGGAGTGAGCGATTGGGTGAGTAACAACGTTGGTATGTGTTTGTGCGGTGGTGATTTTGGGTGTGATGGTGGTCACGTATAATTTGATTGATCGTGACCATTAAATTGGTTAACCTGTGATCAATAAACAATATGTGACCACTAAAAATGATAAATTATGATCGAGAATAGTGTGTGTGTTACCTAAAAAATAATAATATGTGACTTATAATATTTGTAATCTGTGACTTATGTGACCAACAAACAAATTGTGACCTACAAAATTTTTGAATTGTGACCTTAAAAAATCTTCATTTGCAATCAAAAAATAATTTGTGATTTATAAAATTTTTGATTTGTGACCAATAAATTTATAAGTGTGATTAAAAATTAATTCGTGACTAAAATTAATAAATAATACGTGACCTAAAAATTGTGTTCGTGACTTATAATTTATTGAGTTGTGATCGAAAAATTAATTTGTGACTTATAAAATTTTTGATTCGTGATCGAAAAATAATATGTGACATATAAAATTTTTAATTTATGACTGAAAAATAAGTTGTGACCAATAATATGATAAGTCGTGACTAATTATTTTTGGATTTGTAACCAATAAACAAACTGTGTGACTTACAAAATTTTTGAATTGTGACCGAAAAATAATAAGTAACTAATTATATTGTTAATTTGTGACCAAATTGTATAGATCCGTGACCAAAATATATTTAATTAATAAAATAATTAATTAACTAATTAAATTATAAATAATTTTTAATAAAAATCTGATTTTAGAAATTTGAAACTTGTTTTCTTGTTTTTGAAATGTGCTATAATTAATTTTAGTTTATAACATTTTCCCTTCCCTTTTTTATTAGAAGTTAGATATTATACAAAAACTAAGCCAAGCTAAGTTAGGGCCTGGACTCTGGGCTGTCAATGAAATTTAGGCCCCCTCTACCGGGCTCAGTCTTCTCCAAACACGGTCTTCCTTATTATGTTAAAACCTACCTGTAACCCTAAAACCTCAATTCTTCATTTTTTTGTCAGCAAAAGCTTAATTTGGGGAAGTAAAGTAAACAATTTAGCACAACCATGGCAAAGAAGTCGAAACCCTCAGGAAATGGATGTGCAGCGAAAAAGGAGAAGAAGAATAAGTTGAAGAACAATTTGAGTGTTCTGAACTCTTTAGCAATGAAAAACAAGGCTCCGAAACCAAACCCTTTTGAAAGCATGTGGTCACGTAGAAAATTCGATATCTTGGGTAAGAAGCAAAAGGGTGACGCTATCGAAAAGGTTCCATTTTTGTGACCTGTTGAGTATTTGTATTTATGCGTATTTCTGTGTTCATGAACCATATCTGATTGTTAATTTCCATGTACTCTCTGTCTCCTGTTTTACTCGGATCACATTGCTCGTGTCCATGTGCTTTTGGTGTGAATTCAGAGGAAGAAGACACTATTAATGGAGTATGAGCAGAGTGGGAAATCTTCAGCTTTTGTGGACAAGCGAATAGGGGAGCAAAATGAGGTGCTTGGCGAGTTTGATAAGGCAATTCTAAGGTCTCAGTGTGAACGACAGGTGAATTTCATGAAAAGTTTTCTCACTGTATTCTGTAGGTTGATAAGTTTGTGTTTACTCTTTTTTTCCCATTGCTGGTATTTATATGTCTCTCTTCCAATTGTCAGTTAAAAATGAAGAAGAAAAGCAAATATAATCTATCTGACGGGGAAGATGAGTTTGACTTTCAAGGCAGTGGTCCCTTTCCAGAAAGAGATGATTTTGAAGATGAATTACTGTTTGATGAGGATGAGAATGAGAATGGCGAAGCAGCTGGGAGTGCAAGTAAGTGTGCATATCATGATTATATGTTTGCATTTTTTTTTTTTTTTAAATATTCTATAGTATATTATCCATTGTTATGAAGTTCTGCAACAGTGTATCAACAATAGTTTAAATTTTTGAAGTAGATTTTTACAATTTTCGAGTTGAGGAATAAGAATGAGGTTGGTGTAATTGCCCTTGGTAGTATAGTCAATGCAGATAGAACGGCTCAAGAGAAACAATTATTTATTATCTTTAATGCTCTTCGTGAGTAGTGTAGGAATTGAAATAAACTTGTGCCTACTGTACTTCTGTAAGGAAATCAATCTTTTTTGAACTGATTCTACATTGCCGTAGCTTGTCTTGAACTCAAGCATCAAAGTGGTCCGTGCCTAGTTTTAATTTTGTAATCCTGATTTACATTTCATATATCAGATCATGAATATCCCTCCTTTTTCTTGATTTTTCTGTTTCATTTTTCCCCCACAATTCATGTACTCAAAAGTTCCCTTTAAGTAGAAATTTTATATACATGTGTTTGATTTTTATTTTTTTATTTTTTTGGCTGGCAGAACATAGATTCTTTAATGTTCAAAACATTAAAAGAATACTAATTTCACGATTCTTGTGGGATCAAATCAAAATTCCTCTGCTAGTTCAAAGTATCATTTGTACGTTTTTCATGGAAAATAAAGAAACATGATAATTTATATTTTCTCTAAACTTTCGAGGCTTTATAATTGAGCAATCAAATTAAAATTCAATTTTCTCAACAATGAATACTATACTCCTCAACTTCATGTATATGTGGGTCGCTATTTACGGGGAAGAATTTTGAAGAGATGGGGGGAAGAAGGAGGGGGGGGGGGGGGGGGTGGGGGGGGGGCGGGGGGGGGGGGGGGGGTGAGTCTGGAAATTTTGTTTTCTTGGTGTCATTAAAGTCTTCATTGGATTTTGTGGATGAAAAGTTTTGACGATGTCATCTTTTAGGGAATGTGGAACATTTCTATGCAAAACAGCTACTTGTCTAATTTTTTTTTTTTTTTTTGAGAAGTTAATAACTGGATATAGATAGATCTGTCAAGCTAGGTTTAGCTAGTCTCGACTACTCTAATACCCATTAAAACTAGTTTTGCAAAATCCCAAACACCACTTTAAACAGGCTCTGCTGGGATGTCTCACAACCAAGTTCTTATCTTTAGTTGACTACTAAATTAAGCTAAAACAGTTAATCAGATTTTTTCTTATTTTCTTATGTTATTGCAGGACACGGGTAAATCTAATGTTCTATAACTTTCAGAATTTTCTAAAATGTCTTTAAGCTGACATGGGGCAATTTACTGTTTAATTATTTTAAGTGGTTTAGAATCTGTTATCTATTTAGTTGGTTTCTAAAGAAACCTGCCTGAAAGAATAGGAGATCTCTTGGAGGCTTTAAATATATGAAGTCCTCGGAGATCTATTGACCCTGTTAAATAGTTGTGTTTTTTGAAGCTTTCTTGAGATTGGGTGATGGAATTTAGCCCTACATGCGATACCTATGGGATCCAGATTGGTGATGGCTAGACTTTCTTTTTTTCTCTTTAGTGCATTCTAGAACATCTTTAGTTTGTTACTTTTTCGGAACCCTGTTAATCTCTCATATTCTTACACTGCTTAATCAATGTCCTGGTTGATCCATAACCTAATTATCTCAAAATACCTTGAACAGGAATCTGGGAAATGTTAATATTACATAATACAGCCAAGCCATCTTTCACATTGCTTCTTTAGTTCCAACAACCGTCCATCTATTATCTATATATAATCCACTAAAACCTGATAATTGTCTACCCATGTTAGTTGCAAAACTACAGCTAGACCTACCAAATTTGTCTGTAAAGTTTTCCTACACAAAATATTGGACTTGATTGTAGGGTAAGTATATTGGACATGATTTTAGTGAAGATTTATCATCTCTATCTTGTTTGAGGGAAATTACCCTTGAGCAAAAAACAAGATACCACTATTCTTTTCACGGTTTGATGAGAATCAACAAAACATTTATTTGTCATTTATAGAGAAAGATGTTGACCATCTTTAAGAAGTGGATTATGTTGCATAGACACTTCAACTTGGGTGGCGTGCTCGTGTTCGACACGTGTCTCGGCAAATTCAAACTGTGGTGGTGAAACTCCTCGAACACTTTACCATGATTATTTTTTTCTCAGAAATATTATATATTTTTAACAAAAAATTATTATTAAATGACAAATAGATATTCATATTTAAAAGATTTTAACGAAAAAATAAAATAAAATAAAATAATAATAATAATAATAATAATAATAATAATAATAATAATAATAATAATAAGAAATATAAAACTAAATTTATACTATATAAATGAAGAATTTTAAAGAATCTTTATTTATTGGCGATGTGTTATGTTAGTGCTTTTTTGAAAAATCAAGTGTCGACATGTGTGACACGTATGGTGTTTGTGCATCATAGGTAGCAGAGTTATCAGTTATGAACTTGTTTATTGTAAGCTTTTAATGTTAATATACCGTTTGAATGGATGTTATTTCTAGCAATAACTTAGTGTTTGAAGTATTCTCTTTCTCATATGTAATATCATAGATGTTGATCGAGTGAACTACGTATTTCTCTTCTCAAGTGAAATTATAAATTTATGTTTTCTAGCTATTTATTACTAATCATTTACACTATAGCATTTTGCATTCAGAGTTTATAAACTGATGATTGATAAGGAGTGAATATATTATTTCATTGTTTGATCCTCCTTTTCATTCTTCTCTTTTGTATAAACTAATTTTTCTAGCTATATATTAATAATCATTTACACTATAGCATCTTGCATTCAGAGTTTATAAACTGATGATTGATAAGGAGTGAATATATTATTTCATTGTTTGATCCTCCTTTTCATTCTTCTCTTTTGTATAAACTAATTTTTCTAGCTATATATTAATAATCATCTACACTAAAGCATCTTGCATTCAGAGTTTATAAACTGATGATTGATAAGGAGTGAATATATTATTTCATTGTTTGATCCTCCTTTTCGTTCTTCTCTTTTGTATAAACTAATTTTACTTTTTTGTTTAGAGAAGTCAACTATTTTAGGACAACTTGATTCCCATGGGGCAGAGAACGATTTAGAAGAAAGACTCGTGGCACAGGAAAATGTGAGTCATTCTGTTATTCTATATTATATGTATGCAATCTCCAACTTTCTTTTTTGTGTTAAATTGTTGATTTTTCAATAGAATAACAATCAAGAATTTCGAGCCTAAGTTCCATTACCTAATTTCTTTCTCCAACCTCTATTCATTGTGATAATCACTCTTAAATCTTTCAAATTTTCTCCCTTCTATTTCGGGAAAATGGTATCTGTAGATGTTTATTGGTTCAAGTTTAACTACTTCGGTATTTGATTATAATACGTCCTCTTAGGTGACTGTGTGTACGTGGGCAAAGTGGGCATCACTTCATTTAAGTCTTTTCAATATTTTGAAAATGATTGTTATCGATTTTCAGACTATCAGTAAATGAAAGAAAGAAATTTTGTATCTTACTGTCTCTCTTACCTTTTCTGACTATCAGTAAATGAAAGAAAGAAGTTTTGTATCTTACTGTCTCTCTATCTTTTTTTCTTTCTTTCTTTTTTATTATAATGCTTCCTGGCCAAGCTTTTATGTGCTTATATGTAGTGAGTCCCAAGGAATGCGTGGTTAAAAAGTAGCTAAAAGTTGTGTATCTTATTGAATGTGTATGTAAAAATAGAGTTGACCAGCTTATGAGCAATTATAAGCTTTGGCAAACATACCTACACTACCTTTGTTTATCCATTGACTTGACATTTCTTTCCTAATTTTTCGTAGATTGTATCACCTTCCCTTTTCCATTCGAAGCATGTAGTAATGTTTTAAACAAATTGTTGGAAATATTTACTCTTTTGATGATATTTATTACTTGGTTGCGTAGTTGGTCTGGGTTCAATGTCATGGTGAAGTCAAAACTGTAATATAATTGTTTCCTAAGATAAGGGATTTGGAGATTGGAATAAAAATGTATTCCCCCTTTATGGTGCAGGGGATAAATGGGGTCAAAAGATGGGGCTGATATGGGTAAAATATGTCCCATTAGATTATTTTATTCTCCCCCAATCCTTGAATTGGATCATAGAATATTGTTTTCCCCTTTCTAATTTGCTGGATGACAGAAAAGATGGGCTATGGTGGGATTAGAAGTTGCTGCAATATGGTTTAAGTATCCCATATTACCTCATTTGGTTCCCAAATATTGTAGTTTTGTACGAAAAATTCTTTGCGAAATTGCTTCTTGAGGTCATTGTGCCTCAACTAAAAATATTTTTAACCTTATTAAGCATCATTCATCCATCTTCAATCTGTTACGTCTATGTATATGACACCTTTTTCTCAGAGGCAAAGGTTATATTCCCATTTACTTTTCTCTGTGTTAGATTTTTACGATTGGTAGACGACATGAAGTGTACATGTTCATCTACTTCAGAAAATTAATGTTTCTTTGCAGTATCTTTTCTTGTTCTGGTATGGAAACTGCTGAATTGTTATTGATATCTATCATATCCTCCATTTTTGTTGTCATCTAGGATTGGTCATGAATCCGAAGTCATAATTAACTTGTAACTCAAGAAAGTGCTGCATTATCATCAAAGCGCGACCAAATGAACTTCTGCTTCAGCTGATTTCATGTCTTTCTTATTTCAGAGGAAGAAGAGCAAGAAAGAGGTGATGGATGAGATTATTTTGAAGAGCAAATTTTTCAAGGTAGTGGTTGTTGATATGTTTATGTCATTAATTCTATTCCTTGCCTTGATCTCCTAGTTTAATGTATTATATCTCTGTCTTATTCCTTATTTTCCAAAGGCTCAAAAGGCGAAGGATAAAGAAGAAAATGAACAGTTTATTGAACAATTGGACAATGATTTTGCATCTATAGTTTAGTCTAAGGCATTGTTATCAATGACACAACCCAACAAAATGAAAGCTTTGAAAGCTCTTGTAAACAAGAATATCTCAATTGATTATGCTGAGAAAGAAAGAAGCGGTGCTGTCCAGGATAAATTTTCCTTTCAACAGGTAAACTTTGTTTCTGCGAACTTTCAATGACCTGCAAGCGTTGTCAGGCATCTGAAAATCTTTTCTTATAATATTTGCATGTCTTGATTTGATGTTTTCCTGCCATTGTAATCTATGCTCATTTTAGTAACTTGTATTTTACTGCTACCATATAATATTTGATGACATTTTAATTTTATTTATTTATTTTTGTGTTTTGTTTCCCTTTCTTAATATGCGCCGTTAACTGATTTTGCAGGAAAAGCCTGATACTTATGACAAACTTTTCGGTGAGATGGCAATGGATATGCGTGCTCGGCCTTCAGACCGTACAAAGACACCTGAAGAGGTTGCTCAAGAGGAGAAAGAGCGCTTAGAGCGGTTGGAGGTATATTTGATACATACATTTTTGTTGTGGAGTTATGTTTGCTGATAGATCAAGCATGGTAGACAAAATTCCAATTTTTTTCTATCTTCAGTATCCGATTTAAGATGGCAATCTTTCAGTACTTAGTACATCAAATATCCACATCCCTTGTAACCTCATTCCTTTTCTCTTGGATTTTGCTTTTGCTTTTGCTACTCAGTTACGTTTGCTGATAGATCAAGCATGGTAGACAAAATTCCAATTTTTTTCTATCTTTAGTATCCGATTTAAGATGGCAATCTTTCAGTACTTAGTACATCAAATACCCACACCCCTTGTAACCTCATTCCTTTTCTCTTTTCTCTTGGCTTTTGCTTTTGCTTTTGCTACTTAGTGATGTGGTGGTTATTAGGGCAGTAATGAATAGTTGTATTAACAGTGATGACGGTCATGACTTTGACCGGTCGCACATAGATTCTTTAGTTGTTGTTGTTGTTGTTATTATTATTATTATTATTGTGCATATGAAGCATTAGTGGTTTGAGCTTCATATCCTCTCTTTGGTTTTGTTAATCAGATTTAATAGTTGTTTAATGGTTCTTGCTTCATGGTCTCTTTGGCATATCAAAAATATAATTGTGAAACTACAAAATGATGCTCTCTTTACATTACTTAACCCATCATCAAGGTATCATATAAGTATTATTAATTCTTGAATTTTCAGTTTTATTGGTGATGACTTCTTTTTAAAAGGAGAGAGTGCATTCACTAGGCTAATTGTAGTTTTGAAGCCTAAACAAGAGTGTATTTATGGGACAAAAAAAAGATATTTAGAGCAATTTGCCCTTTTTGTAATCAATTTCAGGAAGAACGTCAAAAGAGGATCGCTGCTGGTGATGACTCCAGTGATGAAGATATTGATGAGGAAGCTTCCACTAAGCAGCAAAGATCTATATCTGGAGATGATCTCGGTGATTCCTTCTCTCATGATGCACTGCCAAGAACTAAATTGGGCTTGATTTCTGAGATCTTGAGAAGCGAGAATGAAAATGATCTTGAGAGTGATGATGATGATGATGCTTCTGAAGATTCAGAAGATGACAAGGACAATGATGAGGACGAAGGATCTGATGAGGATGGCAATGATGATGATGATGACAAGATTAAATCTCTCAAGGACTGGGAGCAAAGTGATGATGACAATATTGACAGTTTTTCAGAGGATGGAGGAGGAGAAGATGAGGATGGAGGAGGAGAAAATGAAGATGGTGATATTGATAGTGAAGATGAAAAAGAAGATGATATCGGCATATGTGTGGAGACGACAAACTATAAGAAGCCATCAGGAAGTAAGGGAAAGCAAAAGGATAGTTTGAATGCTGGCAAAGTGAAAGAAAATATCAAAAAGGATTTACTTGGGCAAGGGGAACTTCCCTATACAATTGAAGCTCCTAAAACCTTTGAAGAATTTAGTGCACTATTGGATAATCGTTCTGATGATCAAATTGTTGAAGCTATCAGGCGAATCCGTACATTTAATGCAATTTCTGTTGCTGTAGAGAACCGGAAGAAAATGCAGGTAGGGAACTTTGCTGCATTTGTTTGTTTTGAGTAACTTAATGTTTCTGTATATCCATTTTATTTCCACATTTTTTACAAGTAAAACTTTTCACGATGTTGGAGCGGCATTATTTTCTGTTACAAATGAGAATAGGCAATAATTATTTGTTATTTCTATATTTATTATGATCTATTTGTTGAAGGGAAAAATTAAAATTAAGTGGTCGTATACTGTAGTGTGTCTGGTCATTCGGTGCCTCTTATGGTAGAAAGCAACAATGCAGTAAACTTGGAATTGCAAAAAATAGCCTGTGTCTTACGAATGCGTCAATATTGTTAAACTTAAATTTCCTTTCAGGTATTTTATGGTGTGTTGTTGCAATATTTTGCTGTTTTGGCTAATAAAAAGCCACTGAATATCAAGCTACTGAATTTGCTCTTCAATCCACTGCTGGAAATGAGTTCAGAGATCCCATACTTTGCAGCAATATGTGCTCGTCAAAGGTTGCTTCACATTCGGACCCAGTTTTGTGAGGATGTTAAGAATACAGGTTGGCTAGTATGAATGGAACACACTGGATTTTCCAATTTTCAATTCTCTATTTCTGAAATTTTTTCTGCTAAAATATTGTTTCCATTTCTTCTCGTTGGATCTGTTCTTGACCTCTTCCTTCATGATAGGGAAAAGCGGTTGGCCTTCTATGAAGATTCTATTTCTTTTGAGGCTGTGGTCCATTATTTTTTCCTTGCTCCGATTTTCGCCATGTGGTCATGACACCTGCAATCTTGTTGATGTGTGAATACCTTATGCGGTGTCCTATAATGCCTGGTCGGGATATTATAATTGGTTCCTTCTTGTGCTCTATGGTGCTCTCTGTAAGTTTATTCATCCTTAATTAGTTTCTTCTGTTTCATATTTTATTTTTTTATTTCTCTTAGATCAGATGAGGTATAATAATTAAGAACTTGATCATGTATTGTCTTCCTAAGTTTTGTTTTTAGAGCTTCGTGTTTCCTTGATCCTTTGATTGTTTGATTTTTATGCTTCGTATGTCTGCTTGAGACGCAAAGTTAATTGCTAATTCATTTACTTTTAGTTTTGCATGAACCTTGTTTTCTTGTTTTAAAGCGAGATTTGAATTTCCTTGTGAAATTGTGGTTGATTACCGATCCAATTCTTATTAGATCATATGTACACTACAAATTTCTCTCTGCGAGTTCTGAAATCCAAAATTTGATAGTATTAGGCACACTGAAAACACATAAGGTCTCGGGTTGTGTTGTACCAGTAATGGATTCTCGTCCATAATCTCCATTTATTTGGATTTAGTGATATTAAGCTTTATCTGTATGTGAATATTGATTTTTTCTTTTCTTTTCATTTTATTTTTGGGGGGTGTGTTTGGTGTGGGATATGGTTTTTTTAGCATGAACAGGTGTTATGAGATGTACAGTTAACCATTACATTTTCAGTAATATCTGTTAACCTTTTTGTTCCAATTTTTTTAGAGATTCTGTGTAACAATTTTTCAAAAATGTTTCTACAGATCAGTACACAATCTCAAAAGTTTTGCCCTGAGGCAATAATGTTCATACAAACTTTGCTAATGGCGGCTTTGGATAAAAAACAAGGATCTTCTGAAGATTCTAAGGTTTGTTTCCAGTATTTCGCTTACATTTACACATTCAGAAGCTCTGGTCGTGGCAGTTTCTTGAGGGTTATTGATTAAAGGACCCCTTTTTTTCTTATTTGGAAAAAGAATACTTAATTAATATTTTTATTGTTATGCAGCTGTATCGTCTTATGGAAATTAAAGCACTCAGGCCACTTCTCTGCTTGCAAGGTCAAGTGGAAAAGATCAATTCACTAGATTTCCTAATGTTAATGGACTTGCCAGATGACTCACACCTCATTTCACCTCAGATACTTTCAGGTTTACTCTTAAGCTATTTATTTGTAGTACTTTATTTAGAGTATAATGTAGACTGTTATCTGGTACGTGTTGGATTCTAAGTGTTAAGCTTTTATTTGCAGAGCTGGCGTTCTTTTTTCTAATATTGAAACACTGGAAGGATTTGTGAAAAGTTATGAAGGATTTAAATCTTTTCCAGAGATATTTTTGCCAATTTCCAAATTACTCGGTGAATTGTTGAAACAAGATTACATACCAGATGCATTGCAGGTCCAAATCATAGACGTTAACCAACTTATTGAAAAGAAAGCACAGGAATACCACTTGCTGCGCGAACCACTACGAATGCGAAAGCCAAAGATTATTAAAACTGAGATTCCTAAGTTTGAAGAGAAGTAATCACCATGTCGACTGCATTTTTTTCTCAACTACATCAAATTCTGCCACTTAATTTCGTCTCCTGACTTGATTTTTTCATGTTTAATTATTGAACGCAGCTTTGTAAAGGGAAGAGATTATGATCCAGATCGTGAGCGAGCTCAAAGGAAAAAATTAAAGAAACTTTTAAGACAGGAAGCTAAAGGTGCTGCCCGTGAATTGCGGAAAGATAATTACTTCTTGTTGGAGGTTAAGGAAAGGGACAAGGCACAACTGTCAGAAGAAAGAGCTGAAAAATATGGACAAGCTAAAGCTTTTCTCCAAGAACAAGAGCATGCATTTAAATCGGGACAATTGGGAAGAAGCAAGAAGAGGAGGAGATGAAGTCTATATATTTTGCAGTTTGTGTCCATTTCGTTGTCGTAAGTTACTAATTCATTTGCTTGTAGTTATTCTTCCCTATGAGAAAATTGATTGTTGAAACCATGAAAGAAAGAAAAAAGCCTTCTTTAGTTTTCGTATTAACCACTCTGACGATCCGTGTCATTTGTTTTTGCAGTGATTTGGATGCCCATCTTGCCATTCATTGGGCTCAAGCAAGCTCAGTTCACGTTCGTATATTGAACTGAGGCAATAGGCATCAATTCTGGATCGAGCAAACTTCAGATAAGTTCTGAAATGTGCGTATCATCTATAAATTATGAAGTGCTTCATTTTGCCACGTGTAGTTAATAATTTTCATTGGGATTACTTATGCCTAGTTCCCAAAAAAGGTGCAAATTATTAATCTAAATTGAAATTATATTAGATGATGATATTTAAGATTCATGTCATGTCAAGATAGCAGACTATTATAGACCGATGTACAGTAAAGTATACCATCAGCTTTGCTAACTGGTTTTCTGAAATTTACATGGTTATTGATAAAAACAAAAAAGAAAAAAATTGATGCTTTACCTGTGTTACATAATGGACATCCACCAACTTTTAGACAATTTGACGTATTAAACTCTCATTAATGTATGTATGTACTAGTCTGCATTGTTTTGAAAAAACCCATCTGAGCTCTGCTGCATATTGAGGCTTCAAAGGTGCTGATTGTGCGGCAGTTTTTGGTGGCGCACGCATCAATAAAGGGAGGCACCCCTGAAGCAAGTATTGGATTGTGAGGGGTATGCTCCTTAATTTTCAACAATTATTTACTTTGCTTTGGGTGTTATGTCAGGATTAGCCATTGTCCCACTAAAACGTGAAAAAAAAAATTTCTTATAGACTCACTTTGATAATAGCCCACTATCCCATCAACTAAAGTAATATTCTCTTTTTGGTTACTTCGAAGAATTTTTCTGGTTTGTTTGCACACTTTTTCTATTATATGAATTTTGAAGATCATTAATAATTTATTATGCGCTTATTTAGCATTTAAAGAGGGTTTATTTATTTATTTTATTTATTATTATTATTTTTTATGGGTTTGGGTGTTGTTGGGGGGGGGGGGGGTTTATGATAATCTTGGGAGAATCGAAACTTTAAAATTTAACTGTTGAAGTTGGAGAGCTCAAATCAACACAAGCTATATGTCAAAAGTTCATATTTTTTATGTTGAATTTAAGTCTCAGACCTCACATTGGGAACAATGATAATCCACAATGCTCCGTGATTCCAATGCATATGTTGGATTGGCTTTGCGCTAACACATTATTAGTCTCGGACGAACACTGTTATGTTGGCATTATCATCTAGCTTTGTCGAATTGATATAAATTTAGGGAGAGCCATACGTTAAAAGCTACTTTTTATGTTGAATTTAAGTCTCAGACCTCACATTGGGAACAATGATAATCCACAATGCTCCGTGATTCCAATGCATATGTTGGATTGGCTTTGCGCTAACACATTATTAGTCTCGGACGAACACTGTTATGTTGGCATTATCATCTAGCTTTGTCGAATTGATATAAATTTAGGGAGAGCCATACGTTAAAAGCTACCTATTGAAGTTAGAAAGTCCAACTCTATATAAACCATACATCGAAAGTTCATACTTTAGATGTGAAATTCAAGTCTCGCACCTTGCAATAGGAATTATGACAATCCACTATGCTTCAAAATCCCTGTGCCCACATCAGACAGCCTTTGCACTACCCATGACTAGTCTAGGACAAGCATTGATATGCTGTTGACACCACTTGTGTTGCTCATTTGCAACTGAGAGACGTGGTGCCACTCTGATACCATTGACATAGGTCTTGTGAAAGTTATACTTCAAAAGCTAACCATTAAAGTTGGAGAGACCAAATCTTAGAATGAATCCAGACATCTTGTATTCGAGGGTACAATCAAACTTATAAAAAAGTTATGAGGAATTTTACATTTGAAAATTTAAATCCAGAAAAAATCTTACCCCGTGTAATTTTATATCAAAAAATTTACATGGAGTATTATTTTTTCAGATGTAAAATTTCAAAAATTTTGATGTCATATCCTATGTAAAATTTCTAATAAAATGATTTAAATTATATTGAGAAATAATAATAATAATAATAATAATAATAATAATAATAATAATAATAATAATAGGAATTTTACATTTGAAAATTTAAATCCAGAAAAAATCTTACCCCGTGTAATTTTATATCAAAAAATTTACATGGAGTATTATTTTTTCAGATGTAAAATTTCAAAAATTTTGATGTCATATCCTATGTAAAATTTCTAATAAAATGATTTAAATTATATTGAGAAATAATAATAATAATAATAATAATAATAATAATAATAATAATAATAATAAATTTTTTTAAAAGAAAAGACGAGTTATACCCTTCTTTTTAAGACGCACATTTGATGCATTTTTAAGTATTTTGGATATCTGTATGGATCATTTGATATGTCTATGATGTAGTTCTCGAAATGGCTTCAAGATGACATATGCGATTTGCAGATTCAGCTACTATATGATCATCGGAGATTTTTAAAGTTAGCATGTTATTGAAATTCTCAAAATACTAGTTTGGAATGATATACTTTGACAAGCCGTAACATTTTCTACGGTTGGCTGTTTCACATGCCATTTATAATGTAGAAAATTAGGTCATGAACATTTAGAAATAGTATTAAGAATGTAATATTTCGATTTCATTTGACATCTCGTAATGACTTTGAAAATTGAGACAAAAACATAAGGGAAAAAAATGCATTTGTGGGTTGGGTCGGTTAATTAATGGATTGGTCACTTAAACCGAAAACAACCCAACTTGATTTTTTAATGGTTAAAATTAACCAAACCAAACTAAATTTATAATCCAAACCAACCCAAACTGACTTGAATCGGTTTGGTTTGATTGATTTCGTCGGTTTTTCGATTTTTTCGCCCACCTCTAATTTGAATGCCCTGTGTCACCGATTTGCCCATGTGCCAATATTTGTTGACTGCAGACTGTTATTACCATTGACCACCAGCCTACCACTTTACTGTTTGTTTTCTCTCTCCCATCGACCACCACTTCAAGTCTTCATTGCCATTTCCCACTTCGGTCTTCGCTGTCACGATGTCCATCTCCTTCTGTGTCATATGATGTGGTCTGTCACATCTGTATATTTCTAACTTCTGGCCGGCTCTAATCCATCCGTAGTCCACTGCCATCTTCTTGAAGGCATGTCACATTTCCATTTGATTTTAGTTATTTTCTTCCAATTTTAGTGTCTATAATGTATTTTAGTTCTATTTCTGATTTATATATAACTTATTCTTGCCAAATAATTGTGTTTTTTCCCATTAATTGTGTTTTCTGATTTAGTGTTTTCCAATTTGGGATTTAGGATTTTTCGATTTATGACTTTCTTTTTTATATGTAAATTGATTTAGGAAGATTGAAACTTTGTTTGAATTCTGGTAGGTATGACTTAGAAGAAGAAATTGATTTTTAGGGATTTCTAATATTGTCGATTTTAGTTTATTCTCAATGTTAGTTGATGAATCTCGAGACAATTCAGTAAAGGATCAAATGTCAGTTATCATTCGTTATGTGAAGAATGAGTGTGTATTAGAATATTTTTATTGGTGTCATTTATGTTTCGAGTACCACAGCTGCTTCACTTAAGGCTGCAATTAATTAATTATTCTCAATGCATAGCTTAAGCATGACTAATTTGAGAGGTCAGTTATATGATGGAGCTAGTAACATGTGAGGTGAATATAATGGCCTTAAAGCACTTATTTTAAAAGAAAACCCAAATGCTTACTACATTTGTTGCTCTGCTCATTAACATGAACTAGCTTTTGTAGTTGTAACACAGAAACATCTGAAGATTGAAACTTTCTTCACTACAGTACACAAATTGGTGTATATTGTTGGAAGATCAGCTAAACGGAGTTATCCTATTTGAGAGAACCAAAGATTGAAAATTCTTGAATAATTCAGTATTGGTAGAATATCAAGCAAGTGAAATCTCAATCAAGAAATTACTCTTTAGCGTCCTGGTGATGCACATTGGGGTTCTCACTATAGTTGTTTAATTAACTTGATTGTCATGTTTCAAAAAATAGTCGACTTTATTGAGATAATTGCGATTGACACTACAAGTGCCAGAACAAGTGGCGATGCACGTATTTCATTTGAGTTGATGTTAAGATTTGAATTTACATTTAATCTACATCTCATTAAAAAGATTTTAGGGATTTCAAACGAATTGTAGAGAGCATTACAAAAAAATAAAAAATAAAAAAAAATCAAGATATTGTCAATGTTATGAGATTGGTGCAAATATATAAAGCACAGCTCCAAACCATGATGGATAATGGATGGGATCTTTTTGGACTAGTTTGTTCGTTCTGGGAAACTCATAAGATCAATGTTCCCATATGGATGATATGTTCATAACTCTAGGCTGTTCAAGGCGTGAGTCAGTGACAAATTTGCATCATTTTCGTGTGGAAACGTTTTATGCCATAATTGATGTGCAACTTCAAGAGTTGAATCATCATTTTTCCAAGGTAAATAATGACTTGTTCATTTGTGTTGCGTGTTTGTCTCCAAATAATTCATTTAGTGCTTTTGACAGGATCAAAGTGATTTGACTATGTCAGTATTATCTGGTAGATTTTGATGCGACGGGCATATCAAAACTTGATCAATTAGATACATATATTCTCGATATGCGCACTTCCTAAGATTTTGAAGGATTACAAGGCATTGGTGATGTTGCGCAGTAGTTGGTTGCAAAGAATAAACATGAAGTATATCCATTAGTCTACAAGTTTGTGACATTAGCTTTAGTTCTTCCTATGGCTACTGTCACAGTCGAGAGAGCATTTTCTGCGATGACTTACGTTAAAATGTGTCTGAGGATCCGAATCGGAGATCAATGGTTGAATAATAGTTTGATTGCATATATTGAGAAAGATATTTTCAACAAGATTGAAAATCATGTAACTATAGAACGTTATCAAAGTATGAGAATACGTAGAAAACAATTGTAATAAGATATCTCTTACTTTAATTTTCATCAATTTTTTGAAAGTTTGATTGTGATCCCCTAATCCAAAATGTCTACATCCGCCCCTAACTATACTATTGTTCCTGCTCGTTTGTTCCTTCTACAGCAAGATCTGCAGCAAGAAAGCAGCAGCTAAGACTATGAAAGCTCCGGGAAGGAAAAATGGTGACAGGATATATAGGTCTAAATTTGAAAGTAATCCCAAATCATAATTCCAGGATCTACGTGGTAAGTACTAAATTTCTGCATAATTCCTACCTTCAAGGTCCACTATCCTCAACCGTAGTGTTGACTATACTTTCTTCCTCAGAGTATTTATTGATAGGCAATACAGTATCATAATTTGGTTTGTTTTCATTGCATTTAGAGTTCTCTTTTTTATGTTGAGAAATTAATGGATTTGATTATATGATCGATACATCAGTGTTTAGAAATACGGATTTATGAATATTCAAAACATATATTTATAAATAAATTATATTATTTATAATTTATTTGACAAGTACAAAATTAAGGACCTTATTAAAAAACAGGAAAAGGACAAGGTTTCAGTGAACAACTTCGTAAAAGTAACACCTTAAACCACAAGTGATTAAAGCATTGATAAAAGGATTTGTACATTATTTTTTATATAATAATAATAATAATATTATTATTATTATTATTATTATTATTATTATTATTATTATTATTATTTAATGACTTGCATATTTGAAATATTAGAGTAGTATCTTAATTACGTATTAGTGTCCATCGGATCTGGAACAAGAAGTTGAAGATCGAAACTTACTCCTCGACTACTTTAGATATGCCTTGCAATACCAACCAAATGATCAGAAATGCACAGGCAAGACAAATTTTTTTGATAGCCGTGCGCCTGGAATATCCATTGAAGAGCAAATCGTTGGAAGTAGTTTGAGCTTGTGGGATACCAACTGATGACGACGTTGAATACAATTGGTACCCTTACTTTGATTCACCTTTTCTATCTTCGTATGCCCTTTAGTAGGATGGGTTGAAAGTTGGACAATTTTATTTGTATCGAATGGAATGTACTGAAAATCCCCCCCCCCCCCCCCCCCCCGGCGGGGTCTGGTTTCGGTTTGGTGAGCCAATTATGCACCGTGAATATAAAAATCACCAAATGTGGTCCCCACCCGCTATTCTGAGTAATAAATAAAGAATTAGGTAAAAAAAATTATATCCATATAGAATTGTCCTTGAAAGTTTATGAAGAAAAAGTTCAACTATTTTGCGTCTTCGTATGCCCTTCAAGATGGTGAAAGCTCCAGGAAGGAAGAGCACTACAATTTCCAGGAATAAATTTGAAAGCAAACCCAGATCATACTTTTGCGATCTACGCAAAAATAAGGAAAGAATTCAGATTAATATCAATTTTCTTCATTTCTGAATTCGGATAAAGAAACATTACTAGAAACAATTTTGACAGTACAGCATGATCATGAATGTAGGAGAATAAAATGATTTGTGTTGCCAAAGCTTTTCAGGGGAAATAAATTCGTTAATGAATAAAATCTTTACAAATGCACATCATAAAGCCACATGAATCCATTCCCTCCTCTAAACATAGATCATACTATTATCCAAATAGAATTGCGGGATCTCATCAGACAGAGGACGTTCCAGGAATGTATTGAATTTCTCAGCCCATAAGTGAGATGTGTACAAGTATAAAAACACATATAAGGGTGCCTACTATGAAGTTAGTAGAATAAATACCAAGATTATATCAGCTTTCAAGAAGAAAACTTATATTTCCACAGGCAATTCTCACAACCCAACCAGTTTCATGAATCACGACGAGTAATGCATTCTTTCTTATTTCACAGGAACCTCTATCAGGGAATTGAAGAGTGCAACCAAAGATACAGATATATGCACAATGTCCATATAAGCATTATTGTCAAGATAAATTATTGGGTATTCAGAAACAGTAGAAGTATATTCAACAAATGAACCATAAGAGGACACATCAATGTTGATTATTGATGTACTAGTACCTAAAGAACCAAAAACGAAAGAATTCAATGCCTTACAAATTGTGGCTATAGCTGCTAAAGGAAGGCAGTTTGATAAAACCTTAATTCCCTGCCAAGTTCTGATTTTAGTCAAAAAATTAGTGGAAGTTAATATGCAGTTCACTCTCTTTAAAGCATGGCTCTCAGTTGCAGAGAAGTACACAGCATGACAGCAAGCATGGCTCTCAGTATTGAAGAAAAGAAGAATCTGGAAAATGGAAAGCTTTCTCATTCGATTCCATCGTTCAGTACATAGGTGAGTATAAATAGAAAAACTATCAACTAATACAGCTGTACGCAGCTAATACACAACTAACTTCTAACTAAATTTGGCGCCTAAATCATCTTAGCTGGGCTGATCTGCTGATGCCCATATGTTCCAATACGCCCCCCTCAAGATGGACTATGGAGATTGATAATAGCCATCTTGGAGAGTAAAGGGAAGAAGAGAGAAGTTGGCAAAGCTTTAGTAAACATATCCGCCAACCGGTAATGAGAACGTACAGGCAATAATTTGATGAAACCATCAGCCACCTTATCACGAACAAAATGACAATCAATCTCGATATGTTTTGTTCGTTCATGGAAGATAGGATTGCTTGCAATGTGGATTGCAGCCTGGTTATCACAAAAAATCAGAGCTGGAGATGATGGAGAAATCTGTAGATCAAGGAGCAACTGATGCATCCATGTTAACTCACTGGCAGTGGGTGCTAGTGCTCGATATTCAGCTTCCGCAGATGATCTGGAAACAGTCTGTTGCTTCTTAGCCTTCCATGAAACAAGAGAGTCACCAAGAAATACACAAAGTCCAGTGATAGATTTCCTCGAATCAGGACAAGAACCCCAATCCGCATCAGCAAACGCACGTAGTTGCAGTGAAGAGGAGGCTGAAAAGAGCAAACCTTGGCCTGGGGCTGACTTAAGGAACCGCAAAAGATGATAAGCTGCATCAAGGTGTGGTTGTCGAGGTTTGGAGACAAACTGACTAAGTTTGTGTACAGTAAAAGTGATGTCTGGGCGTGAGATAGTTAAGTAGAGCAAGCGGCTAACAAGTCTGCGATAGGATGAAGCTGTTGTGTCAGATAGTAAATCACCATCAACTGAGTTTAAACGAATCTTAGGATCCATAGGCAAAGGGGCTGGCTTGCAGGCCAAAAACCCTGTATCCTCCAGCAACTGCAATGTATAATTCCTCTGAGATAAACATATTCCTTTATGTGATCTTGCTATTTCCAAACCAAGAAAGTACTTCAATTTCCCCAAGTCCTTAAGTTTGAACTGACTATGTAGAAATGATTTTAGAGAGGCAATGGCATTGAGATCTGAACCTGTGATGATAATATCATCGACATAGACCAGCAAGGCAACAAATGAAGAGCCTGAACCCTTTGTAAATAGGGAATAATCGGTCTTGGATTGATGGAAACCGTGTGTAATGAGAGCATGGGAAAACTTGGAAAACCATTGCCTAGAAGCCTGCCGAAGACCATAAATGGACTTGTGAAGCTTACAAACTGGTTTACCTCCTTTGATGGCATCAATAGTCACATTTGAATACCCCTGAGGCAAATCCATATAAATCTCTTCAAAAAGATCACCATTCAAAAAGGCATTATTGACATCCAATTGAACAAGATGCCATTGATTAATGGCTGCAACAGCAAGTAAAGTTTTGACAGTGACCAACTTAGCAACAGGTGAAAAAGTGTCAATAAAATCCAATCCTTCTTGTTGGGTATAACCTTTGGCTACCAAACGTGCTTTATACCTGTCTACACTTCCATCAGGTCCATATTTGATTTTATAAACCCATCTACAGCCAATTGAATGCTTTCCCTTGGGCAAACTGGTTATGGTCCAAGTTTTGTTTAATTCCATGGCTGCCAATTCAGCCACCATTGCTTCCCTCCAGTGATCAGATGCAACTGCCTGGTGGTAAAACTGTGGTTCAGTATTTGAAGAAACATTGAGTAGAAAGGTTCTATGTGGGTGAGAAAATGATTTATATGAGAGATAATTGGACAAAGGATAAATGGAGTTATTATAAGGAGGTGATTGATTTGTAAGCAGATTGCAGTGAAATTCACGAAGGTAAGATGGAAGTTTACTCACCCTAGTTGTTCTTCTAGGTACAAAGTGCGAAGGCTGATTGCAATCAGGACTTTGACTACAATCAGAGGTAGAATTGGAAGATTGTTCAATGGTAGGTGAATTATTATGTTCAATCGTATTGTCATTGCTGACAGAAGTATGTGAATCTAAGGTGGAATGATGGATGTATGGATCAGATGTAATGTGTGGTAATACAATATCAGGGAAGGGATCTATCAATTCTGATGTTGGAGTTATAGAATGGAAAGGGAAATATTTTTCATGGAATACCACATCCCTGGAAATAAGGAATGATTTAGAGGATATATCATAAAGTTTATACCCTTTAATACCTGGAGGGTAACCAAGGAAAACACAGGCTTTGGCTCTAGGATAGAATTTGTTTCTATGAGAAGGAAGTGTGGATGCAAAGCAAAGGCTTCCAAACACCCTGAGCGAAGTGTAGTCGAATGGAGTTCCATATAGCAAAGAGAATGGGGTCATGTTCTCGAGGATTGGAGATAGAGTTCTATTGATTAGAAAGGTAGCAGTAAGGACACAGTCGCCCCAGAATTGAATAGGCACTCTTGACTGAAAGAATAGTGCTCGTGCCACATTGAGAAGGTGTTGATGTTTCCTTTCTAAAACTGAGTTTTGCTGAGGCCTTTCAACACAAGAATATTGATGTATGACACCTTTTGGGCAAAACGAAGCTCTGGAGCATGATCAGATCTAAACTTTTTAATGACTGTATGAAACTGAGTTTCAATGAGGGCAAAGAACCTGGGAATGATAGATTTTGCATCTGATTTATGCTTCATCAGATAGACCCATGTAAAACGCGTACAATCATCGACCAATGTCAAAAAGAATCTGTGGCCAGAACATGTTGGGACATGGTATGGACCCCAGGTGTCACAATGTATCAAATCAAAGGCATTCTTAAATAAATGGTTGTTAGATACAAATGACTGTCTCCTCTGTTTTGCCAAAGGACAAATATCACATGGAGTTGCATTGAAATCTTTGTAACCACTACGTGTAATTTTCAACTGTTCTTTCATCATGTCTAACCTTTGAAAGGATAAATGACCAAGCCTTTGATGCCAAGTATGTGAGGTCACATTATTTACAATAGAGCATACAGAATTCTTACAGCCACTTAACATAGACTTATATGATGCAGCATCCAATATGTAGAGACCATCCACTCTATTACACTTACCAATCACCTTCATGTTGTCCAGATTCTGAATAGTATAGCAATCACGGAGAAAAGTGACATTGATAGATGAATTCCTAGTAAATGAACTGATAGACAAAAGGTTGAACTTAAATTGAGGAACATCCCCCCCACCCACAATGCATGCAAGCCTAGCGTGAATATAAAAAATCCCCCAATATGGTCGCCACCCGCTATTGTAAGTAATAAGTAAAGAATTAGGTAAAAATAATTATATACATATAGAATTGTCCTTGAAAGTTTATGAAGAAAAAGTTCAACTATTTTGCGTCTTCGTATGCCCTTCAAGATGGCAAACCCAGATCATACTTTTGCGATCTATGCAAAAATAAGGAAAGAATTCAGAATAATATCAATTTTCTTCATTTCTGAATTCGGATAAAGAAACATTACTAGAGACAATTTCGAAAGTAAAGCATGATCATGAATATAGGAGAATAAAATGATTTGTGTTGCCAAAGCTTTTCAGGGGAAATAAATTCGTTAATGAATAAAATCTTTACAAATGCACATCATAAAGCTACATGAATCCATTCCTTCCTCTAAACATAGATCATACTATTATCTAAATAGAATTGCGGAATCTCATAAGACAGAGGATGTTCCAGGAATTTATTGAATTTCTCAGCCCATAAGTGAGATGTGTACAAGTATAAAAACACATATAAGGGTGCCTACTATGAAGTTAGTAGAATAAATACCAAGATTATATCAGCTTTCAAGAAGAAAACTTATATTTCCACAGGCAATTCTCACAACCCAACCAGTTTCATGAATCACGACGAGTAATGCATTCTTTCTTATTTCACAGGAACCTCTATCAGGGAATTGAAGAGTGCAACCAAAGATACAGATATATGCACAATGTCCATATAAGCATTATTGTCAAGATAAATTATGGGTATTCAGAAACAGTAGAAGTATATTCAACAAATGAACCATAAGAGGACACATCAATGTTGATTATTGATATACTAGTACCTAAAGAACCAAAAACGAAAGAATTCAATGCCTTACAAATTGTGGCTATAGCTGCTAAAGGAAGGCAGTTTGATAAAACCTTAATTCCCTGCCAAGTTATGATTTTAGTCAAAAAATTAGCGGAAGTTAATATGCAGTTCACTCTCTTTCAAGCATGGCTCTCAGTTGCAGAGAAGTACACAGCATGACAGCAAGCATGGCTCTCAGCATTAAGCGAAAAGGGGTAATATGCAGTTCAATCCCGTTCAAAACACTTGGTGTGCAGGTCCTTACTAGGGGAAGGAAATAAATAAATAAATAAATAAATAAAAAACAAATCCTTCTCTTCATTCACTATGACTTCAAAAGGAGTGCATCAGTAGTGTCCAGCAGTGCCATGAAAGTTATCTCACCCTCTCTTACGAATGGAGGGAAATCCAATCATCATTATCGGACTTAATGGTTTGAGAGATTGTTGATAGTGATGAGAATCTGAATGTAAAGCATTAGTTTTCAGCATTACATGATTCTTTCTTGACACACATAAGCATACTTGGAAACAAAGATGCTACACTACATAGCGGTCTATGTCCAGTATGGTACTCGTCAGATCTCAGTGAAACAAAAACTTGTTCCATACTTCCATTTATGTATTACCTTTCATACACATAACAGACAAAAGTTTCAAACTGGGTTGTTGATGGGTGGTGTAACTTTATTCGGAAACATCTCATGTTTCTAATCAAAGTTGTGTAATTTTCATTTCTTTTGTAAATATATAATGACTTGACAAGGGGCTTGTATACACGGTAGGTCACTATACATTAGGCAGAATTTTTAGCTTTTAGAAAGAGATTTCAAGCAACGATTATACAAAATAGAAAGAGATCCTGTTCCAATAAATCTCATCGTTATATATGGTTTTTCTCGGCAAATACATATCTCTCTCCTGTAGATACTCAAGTTTTTAAAAATTTATAAAATTCATATCGTCGTATCAATTATATACAAGAAGTTAAGTAGTCGAAGCATTCTTCCTGATTATCTTCAACAAGAAGAAAATAAAATGGCCTATGTTCTACACCTTCGTGTACTACATTGCACATTTTAAGACATAAAAAAGAGTAGATATGGGTACTGTATACCATAATGAACTAGGGAAAAGCATTAATGAAAAATCTATTAAAAATACTAATCGCCAAAGCAATTTAGAGGCTAATAGTTTCTTAAGAAAAGCTTTCCTCAAGGTTACATGCTCAAGCTCAGTTACAAGAATGCATAGTTACGTTACAGCAAAAAAATTAACTTATTGTCAACTTAGCACAATTAACAAGTAAATTGCAAAAAGACTTTATTTTTGGAGTAAAAAACCTGAAGTGGGCCAGCATCGATGCCTCTCCTATTACTGGATAAGAAACTTCCTCTAGGAGGACGTATTGGGGAAGCAGCTCGTTCATCCAACTGTTGAATACAACTTGTGGGAAGTAGTTTACCTAGTGATCATCGTTCCAGCCCCTTCATCAGTGAGAATCTCAAGAAGTAGTGAATGCTCCAGCCGCCCATCTATTATACTAGCTGTCCGAACACCTTGGGCCAGAGACCTTACGCAGCAGTTCACCTTGGGGATCATCCCACCTGCAATCTTCCCATCCTCCATCATCATCTTCACCCCTTTGATATCAATCTCCTTCACCAAGCTCCCAGGATCATCACGGTCCTCCAATATCCCTGCTACATCAGTCAACAGAATCAACTTCTCCGCACTCAAAGCCGCTGCAAGCTCACCAGCAGCCGTGTCTGCATTAATATTATATGACTGCCCTGTCACGTCACCCGCTACAGAGGCAATCACTGGGATATGGTTATTATCGACAAGTGGCAGGATTATAGAGGGGTCGACACTGGCAATTTCCCCGACAAACCCAAGCTGTGCAGCATTGGGAGAGGGCCTAGCTGTCAAAAGACGACCGTCGATCCCAGATAAGCCGACTGCAGTGGCACCTGCTTTGTTGATCAAAGCAACAAGATGTTTATTCACTTTACCAACCAACACCATTGACACAATTTCCATGGTGGACGCATCAGTGACTCTGAGGCCATTGAGAAAATTGGGCTTGATGCTGAGTTTTCCCAGCCACTGGTTGATCTCGGGCCCACCACCGTGCACAAAGACAATGCGGAGCCCGACACATGAGAGAAGGACAATGTCTGCAATTACAGAAGCCTGAAGTGCCTCAGACTTCATCGCAGCTCCTCCATATTTAACTACTATAGTCTTGCCACGGAATTTCTGAATAAAGGGTAATGCTTCGGATAAAATCTTGACCCGGGTTTGTGCCGTGGTGGACTGAGTACCCATGTCTGGCGCAATTACTGATTGTGAAGATGAACCGAGACAACTGATTTTGTGTTTTTCATTGCGTTTTGAGACCGGAACGAAGTTCTTGAATGAGAGCGCAAAATCATCAGATACTTTTGAGGGTGCGGACAGAGGCGAAGTCAGAGGAAGGGTTTTAGCAGCCAACATTGTTTCTTGAAGGCTTAAAGGTCCAGCTGAAAAATTGAAAATTTTGATACTCTGTGATTAGGTATATGCAACTAAAATCAACCAAAATTCTAGAATCAAGAAATCAATCTAACTAAAAATGAGCAAATCAAACAAAACCAAATGAACTTTTAATTGCTACATTAATTGAAAAGTATATTGAAAGAATAACCCTCAACAATTTACCACTTTATTTCTACTCACTCACTCACACACACACACACACACACACACATGTAGAGAGGGAGACTACCGGAAGGGCTAACCCTGCAGTGAAGAATTTTTGTCTCCAAGATTAGACTAAACGAAACCCTGATCCGCTGAACTGCAGCTCATTTTAATTGGGAAATAATTGCAATTAAGGTCCCTAAATTATTGAAAGTATATCGAATGAGTCCCCAATCTTTTATTTGTAGCAACTGTGTCTTCAAACTCTCAGTTTTGTAGCGTGTAAGTCTGATTGATTTTCAGATTCTGCACCCTTAGAAAGTGACATTTCTCCAAACTATCAAAGCTGCCTCCATAAAAATGACATTGAATTTTAATTTTATTATTATTATTATTTTTGGTTCTTTCGCCTTTGTAGCTTACTAATTTGTGGTCGTCAAAGAATGAACATTTATTCGGTTAAAAAGTCAAATTTTGTGTTAAAATGACCCT